TTAAACTTGGCTACATAAATTCAAGACTCTCATTTCATCAGAAAAACAGAATCAGATTATGAACACTACAGTGAATTTAGTCATTAATTTTTTTCATAGTTTCAAATGGGAGAAAAATATTAGAGCTTAGACTTTCCCAGTCATTTGTAATAGTAAATAATAGTTTGCCATTGACTGAGCACTTTAATAGGCATTTTATATGTATTTATTCATTTAAATCCTCAGAATCAACCTAAGAGGTAGGATGTTATCAACCCCAGTTTTACGTACAGTATTAAAAAAGTGAGGCACAAAGATGTTAAATAACTTGCCCCAAATCAACAAGTTAGCAAATGCTAAAGCCAGATAGTTTTTTCAAAGCCTCTGCTCTTAACTCTTCCATTACGCTGCCATACAAAAAAATGTTAGAGTGATATTAATACAGGTTTTAGAAATTCATGTTAAATTCAAATCCATTCCTATTTTAACTATACTTTTCTTTCATGTAAGATACTACTGTCACAACAGAGTAATATTGAACTTTTGGCCATTATTAACTTTGTGGTTGGTATAGTAGACTTGGGAGCTATATAAGGGCAAATATTTTGTCTTTATGCACTATTTCCTAGTAACTACAACAGTACCTGGTATGTAAGTGCTCAATAAGTATTAAATGAATCATACATTATAATTTAGGTTTATAACAGGAGGATTATACCGAATAAGGATAAGCAAGCTTATCAAACACAATTTAGGCTTTTTTTTTCTTTTGAGTGGGGGGAGAGAGTCTCACTCTGTTGCCCTAGAGCTATCATAGCTCACAGTAACCTCAAACTTCTAGACTTGAATGATCCTCTTAATACCTCAGTCTTTCAAGTATCTGGGACTACGGGCATCTGCTACAAGACCTGGCTAGTTTTCCTACTTCTTGTAGAGACAGGGTCTCACTCTTGCTCGGGCTGTTCCTGAACTCCTGAGCTCAAGGAGAGTGCTCCCAGAGCGCTAGGATTATAGGTGTGAGCTACCATGCCTGCCCCTCTCTTTTCTATTATTAAAAGAGGTTAAATAAAATGTCTAAATTCACAAAATAATAAAATTGAAGTAGACTGCTTATAAAATTGGAAGAGCCCTAAAATTTTGTACTTGACCTACTTGCTATCTTTATAGAAATCTGTGTGTTGAGAGAGAGAGAATCTAATAATTCCACTCTTGACTGGAGGTAGAGCTCAGGCAGTGATGAGAGCGATGGGGAGTGGCTGTAAAGACAGATGAATCGGTGCTTGCTCTCCCCCAACTGCTTGCTCTGTGGCCCAGTAGTGATACTGGTTCTCAGCCTGGGAGTTGGAGATTGCAGCCTTAAACTGTACATAAATTTTAGGACAATTATTTTATATTTTTCAACTGATTAAAAACATTTTGACAAATGTTTGTTTTGAAATGTTTATTATCTATTGCATCAAACCAGTGTACATTATTGTTGTTTTTAAATATCAGATTCCTAGCTTTTTCACTGATGCAGAGAGAAGATCTGTGATGGCTGCAGCCCAAGTTGCAGGCTTAAATTGCTTAAGGTTGATGAATGAAACTACTGCAGGTAAGCACTTTGCAACTGGAAAATCACAGTCAGAAAAATATTGTTACAGTTTTTTCTGATAACTAACAAACTTTTTTTTTTAACTTCTATTGTAGACTGGTTCTTGTAAGCTTTTTGCTTTGGCATACATTATGACAGAGGTTAAATATGTCTTCAGTGGCTTTAAGAATTGTTACAGAGTTGTAAATGGAGTGGAGAAAAAACATTGTAACCAATTATGAAAAGTTAATTTACTTTGAAGCTAATAATGTGTGTTAAAGGACAGTATCAAAGTGACTTTCCTCTTATTTTCCAAGTAATTGCTGTGCTAGATTAACCTGATTCTTTGTTCTTGTACAGTTGCACTAGCATATGGAATTTACAAACAGGATCTTCCCCCATTAGATGAGAAACCAAGAAATGTGATATTTATTGATATGGGACATTCTGCCTATCAGGTCTCGGTTTGTGCTTTTAACAAAGGAAAACTTAAAGTAAGTAAACATGATTTATTATATTTCATTTTAATGATTAAGAGCACAGACTGTATATAGAATTTTAGTAAGTGGGTTTTAGTTGTTGTTCCACACCTTTAAAATTATGACCTTGAGCAAGTTGCTTACCTTTCCTAAACTTCAGTTTTCTTATCTGAGGATAACATCAGTGACCAACCTCATAGAATTTTTGAGGACAAAATCAGTTAATGTATATAAAATGCTTGGAAGCCTGGCATAGGGTAGCTGCCATAATAATGTGCTATTTTTATTGTTGTCTTTATTAAGTTGTTAATTAAATCATCTGTCAGGGAACATAAATTATTAGTGAATATACTTACAGGAAACATTTTCTAAAATGATTCCCATTTAGAAATCTTTCTATCCAGGAGTCTTAATCATATTTTTCTACAAGGTAGCAGAACTTACTTCTGTGTGCTTGTGTCTTACAGTCTGTCTATATTTGCTCTTTTATTCATTTTTACATTATCTTGTCTAAACTTCTGAGCTCTCTCTCTCCATTATGCACATGAGTAGAATTTACTTACAAGATAAAGTACTTTGAGTTATCCAGCCTTGCAAGAGCATTTTGTCTTAGAGTTTATATTACTGAAATAACATCCTTGTAAGCAGAAAATTAAAGGGAGATGACTCACACTGAATATAATTTTCAGTATAAATTAGTTTAATCTTTTGCATTTAGCCTTAAATTTTAATAGTACACCACTTTGAAAGTTTGTTAAACACTATAGCCCTTCTTCCAAGAATGCAGACAAGATAATTTTGCATTTAAATGTGGGAAGTAATAGACTTCCTAAGAGGTCTATACATGGATTCCCCATGCTAGTCTGTAGGATGACTTTTCACTCCAATGAGAGAGTAAGTGCTCACATCTTACTCTGACTTTGACCACCATTCTACCACCCCAGCAACCTCCTTCTGAAGAAAGAGCTAAAGAACCACACCAACAATGGGTTGGGGTTTTTTTGTTGTTTGTTTGTTTAGTGGTGACTGTTATGAGTAGTCAATTTACCCTAAGGAGAGAGATCAGATGACTTGTCCTGTGATTTCAAGAACTATAGTGTTCAATGAAGTTTTGTGACTTGTTTATACCCTTCTACCCCAGTACCTGCTTGCTAGGAGCCTATTGCTCAACAGACCTACTAAATTCTTCTCTCTCTTCGCTTGTTTCTGATTTCTTCTTTTGCTTTCTCATATATCCTTTTGTTCTATATTTTTATAAAAATAAGCTGGGTGGTTTTTTTTGGGGGGGAGGGGGGTTCTTGCATTGAGGGTTAGTAATAGTCAGAAGGCCTAGTTCCTGCCCTGTAAATTGACCAATTATATGTAATATTTTCAATTTAATCTTTGGGTCTGCTTTTCTTATTTACATGCTTACGATTATTTCTTTGCTCTCTTAAAATTGGTTTTTGGTCTACCTGTTGTAGAATGAAAAGAGTGAGATAATGAGGTTTTAGTTTCAAAATTAGAATTCTTTTAATTGAAGCAGATAATTCAAAGTAGGGAAATACATTGGCTAAATAAATACAAATGCTGATTCCAAATTCATCACCTGAATTGGATAAGCTTTTTTATTTTTTAAATAATTTTAGAGGTTTATTTTCTTTTTAAGATTCTATTTCTGAAACTTGAGTTGTGCTTTTTTAATTAAACAGGTCTTGGCTGCTGCCTTTGATCCATATTTGGGTGGCAGGAACTTTGATGAGGCTTTAGTAGACTACTTCTGTGATGAGTTCAAGACAAAATATAAGATAAATGTGAAAGAAAACTCTCGGGCCTTGTTGCGTTTATATCAGGAATGTGAAAAACTAAAGAAGCTGATGAGTGCAAATGCATCAGATCTTCCATTGAACATTGAGTGTTTCATGAATGACCTTGATGTTTCTAGTAAAATGAACAGGTACCATGTATGTTTTTAGTTTAAAAAGTGTTTGCTTATTTTATAATGTTTAGATCACATCTGATTTTTTTATTTTATCATTTTAGAAGATATGCTCAACATTTTATTCCAAAATAATGGATTTTATTTTTTCACAGGGCTCAATTTGAGCAATTATGTGCTTCTCTCTTGGCCAGGGTTGAACCACCTTTAAAAGCAGTAATGGAACAAGCTAGTAAGTGGAAATTACTGGACTGTCAAAACTTTATAGTCTCTTAAAGGGATGGGAAAATGGGAAAAATAATAGAAACTCCATGTTTTTTAACGATTTGTATTTCTCATTTTAGTGTAAGAGATTATAACTCATGCATTATTGGTAAGAGAAAGGCTCTCGAAATCTGGGTTTATGAGAATTCTTCCTGGCTTATTTTGTTGTTCATATCACAAAGCCAGTGGTAGTTCTATTTGGAGGTGTTTGTATATTGAAGTACAGGAAATGAAATGAAATGAGGAAATACAGAAATAGGGACATGAGCCGGGTGTTGTCACTAGCACAACACCTGTAATCCTAGCACTCTGGGATGTGGTGGATTTCTTGAGCTCAGGAGTTTAATGAGACTAGCCTGAGCAAGAGTAAGACCCTGTCTCTACTAAAAACAGAAAAATCTAGTCAGGCATGATAACACATGCCTGTAGTCCCAGCCACGTGGCAGACTAAGGCAAGAGGAGCTCTTGACCCTGAGAGTTTGAAATGAGCTATGACGACACCACGGCACTCTACCCAGCGCAACAGAGTGAGACTCTGTCTCAAAAGAAAAGAAATAAGGACAGGATTGCTTTTAGTTAGAGGTGTTTGGTAATTAAAAATGACTTATAATTATATCAGGATTTGGGAGTTAGAAGTTAAGAAATTGAAGAACTCTGAAGAGGTCTTGTAAGATGCATGAGATGCTTGTTTCTCCCTGTTGTCACTTTTTTATCTAGGCCAAATTCAGTGTCTATCACATAGATAACTAATACTTATGAAATATTGACTTTTTCTAGAATCAGTTTTTATCTTCTTTTAAGCAAATAAAAAATTGATCCACTCTTTTAAAAAGCACTTTCCAAAGCCTACTGTTCACAGATTTTTAAAGACTAGCTTATTTTTCTAAATTAAAAACATTTTATTTCCAGACTTACAACGTGAAGACATAAGTAATATAGAAATTGTAGGAGGAGCAACACGAATTCCTGCAGTGAAGGAACAAATCACTAAATTCTTTCTTAAAGATATAAGTACCACATTAAATGCTGATGAAGCTGTTGCAAGAGGATGTGCATTACAGGTATAATTTATTTTTTAAGAACATATATTTTTCCATAAATGATAAGTCCAAGGGCCTTTTAATATTATCTGTTCTAACTAGCTGTTGATAGGCTAAAGTAAATCAAAGATTTCCCTGAAAATAAGTCTTCTGTCTTTCTCATTTGCATGTTTAAGCTATAAGAAGTCTGTAACTACACTGAAATAACATATACTTATCAATTCTTACAATCTGCCCATTTAAAATTCCTTTTAGAGATTTCAAAAATTCTTGTTTAATTTTTGTAAGTCCTCATAAAGAGGGTACTCTGACCCTTTTTAATTTTTTACCAGTTTTTACCAAAGAATAATTGTAACAATTTCATAGATGGACTTTAATAAACAGTTCACTCAAGCTAACCTACGGTATAGTCTGTATTTTTAAATATGGTGTACATCTTATTTTCAGTGTGCGATTCTCTCACCAGCGTTTAAAGTGCGTGAATTTTCTATAACAGACATTGTTCCCTATTCAATCACATTAAGGTGGAAGACCTCTTTTGAAGATGGAACCGGGTAAGTTATTTTTAAAACCATAGTTATAGCCTATCATAAACCTTTGGCCAGTTCAACCCTTTTTTCTAAATTAGAGGAGGTAATACTTTCAAAAATTCTGTCAAATGCTTTTAAATAAATTGTTAGAAAAAAATAATGTAGGCTTGGCGTCTGTGGCTCAAGTAGCTAAGGCGCCAGCCACATACACCTAAGGCGGTGGGTTCAAATCCAGCCCTGGCCTGCCAAATAACAATGACGGCTGTAACCAAAAAATAGCCAGGTGTTGTGGCAGGCGCCTGTGGTCCCAGCTACTTGGGAGGTGGAGGCAGGAGACTCACTTGAGCCCAGAAGTTGTTGGAGGTTACTGTGAGCTGTGAAGCCACAGCACTCTACCCAGGGGAACAGTTTGAGGCTCTGCCTCAAAAAAATATATATATAATGTAAAAGTGATATATTACCTATAGATGATGGACATGTTTTTTAAAAGAAGTAATATGGCTCAAAGGAAAAAAATTGGAATATGGATGGTAGATGAAGTATCAGAATATCCCTGGTAGGAAATGTACACTGAAGTATTTGGGGGGAAAAGATCATAATGCATATATCATTCTTAGTTGGTTCAGGAAAAATACACAGGGTGGCAAAAAAATGTATACACATTTTAAGAAAGGGAAAAAATGGTAAATTATGTAATACTCAGCATATACTGGTAACAAAAGATGAATACAAGACATGTTGAATACCTCTTATAGTTGCAGAAGTCAAATATGACTTCAGTATTAGTGTTTTTTTTTCCTTTCTTAAGATGTATATATATATATTTTTTGAGCCCTCAGTATACACAAAAAGTGTGCTCTCAGATGATGAAACACATGGGGTAAAATGTCAACAGCAAATCTAGATAAAGGATATACAGAGCTTTATTGTCCTGTTTTGCACCTTTTTGGAAGTTTCACATTATTTCCAAATAAAAGGATTTGTTGGTTTGTTTTTATAGAGGAGCTGGAATAAAAAGGTTTACTTACATAGGGCAAGTGTTCTAAAAGTTAACGGGTAGGGCTTTTGGTCCTCAATATGAGTGCAAAAAAAGTCTTTATACATTGGCCTTAAAATATATATAGTCTCAAGTAATTTTTCTCTTTATAGTAGTATACACTGCCTGTTTCTAAGATAGGTGCTATGAAAACTTTGAACCATAAACCTGTCTGAATAATTAATATCAAAATCAGTATTTGGTTTTCTTTACATTTGTGCATAGAGATTTTTGTAGTTGATGCTTATGAATTAAGAATGAAATGGAATTTGTAATTAGGTTTATTTCTATTTGTTTCTAAGTGACTCTTTTCCACTCCATTTTAGGGAATGTGAAGTATTTTGTAAGAATCACCCTGCCCCATTCTCAAAAGTTATTACTTTCCACAAGAAGGAACCATTTGAATTAGAAGCATTTTATACAAATTTACATGAAGTGCCTTATCCTGATCCAAGAATTGGTAAGAAAATAATTTTAAATAAATTTTGGCCCTTTCATAAATACAGGGTGACCCTCAAGTTCATGTGCATTTTAAATAGTTATAACTTTTAGAATCAAGGAAGCAAATTGACATTTCAGCTAAGCCAATACTGGATTTTTAAAGAAAGTATTTATACTTTTTCTAAATATACACTTTTTGATGCTCCACTTAATTTTAGAATAATGTTAGGTTTGGGTACAGTTGACCTTCTATTCCAAGGTTCAACATCCATGGATTCAATCATTCACAGATCAGAAATACTCAGGAAGGCTCTGCATCCATAGCATAGTGGTTACAGCACCAGCCACATGCGCCAGTATTGGAGGATTTGAATCCAGCCTGTGCCTGCTAAACAACTATGACAACTACAACAACTACAACAACAACAAAAAAA